CAGAGCAGCGTCGTCGACCTGGCTGTAGACGTTCTTGATGTAAGCGCGCTTCTGGTCAGGGTCGGCGGCGGGTCCTGCGTTCTGTGCGCGGGACTGCTCCTTCTTGTGTCCAGTGGCTGTTTGCCAGCCAGCAGCCTCGCCCTGGCTTGTCGCGGGGGATTGGTCACGAGCAGGTGCTGAGGTCTGGCTGGGTGCAGCAGCAGCGGCTTGAGCAGGAGCGGCGGCAGCGGCCTTGGGCTGCGAAGGAGCTTGCTGAGCGGCGGGGGCGTTGACGACGGGAGTAGCGACCTTGTGTGCAGAGGCGGCGAGGCTGGCCCAAGTTCGGGGAGCGGCAGGCTTGGGGGGACCAGAGGGCATGGCAACGGGGGCAGCCTTTTGGGCGGAGGCCGGGGCGGCAGCGGCAGGCTTCTCGGGCTCGGCGGTCTCCTCAGCGGCGGGGGTTGGCTCTGCGGCCTTCTCCTCGACAGCAGCAGGTGCCTCCTCAGCAGCGGGCTGCTCAATCTCCTCTGGAACCTGTTGAGCCGGGGCAGCAGGTGCGACCTCCTCGACAGACGGCTCCTCTTGCGCAGCCTGGTGTAGCTTGTTGTCCACCTTGTTCAGATCCTCCTCGCTGGTCGCGATCTCGTCGCTCTGGTTGAGGTCGGCATTCTCGGGGACGGCAGCGGTGGGAGCGGGCTCCGTGACACCGTTGGGGGGCGCGGCCTGCTCTTGCTGGTCCTCGTCCTCCTCGGGCTCGTCGGCAAGGTAGCGAAAGATGTCGTTGAGGACGAAGTAACCGTTGGTCTGCTCGGCGAGGACAAAGGTCTGCACGAAGCGCTTGTGGGGCTGGCCTTGGTTGGAGATCTCACCGATGACTTGGATGACGATGTTGGCATCGGAGCCCTGCGAGTCGACGTTGGTGACGCGGACCTTGGTGTCCTTGAACTCAAGCTCTTTGATGCGCTCGTTGATGGCCTAGACGCGGGTTAGCATGCATCGACTGCAATTGGGCTTTCTTCACGTACCTTCTGGCCTAGGCAGACGTTGACCTTGTCCTCCTCGACACCGGAAACATACTGGGAGCGCTTGTTGTAGAACAGCTGCAAGTTGGGTCAGTCGCGTGGTCACCAAGAAAAGCCTTCCCGCCGCGTGCGACTTACGTAGAGTCGGTCCGGGCTCTTGCTCAGGGTGGTGTAGTACTGCTCGACAAAGTACCAGCCGACCTCGTCCTTGGGGATCTCTGAGGCGGCGGCTTGCTGTGCGGGCTGGCTGGGCGTGGGCTGCTGCGAGGGTGTGAAGTTGGAGGCGCCGGTGGAGTAGCTGTTCTCGTACTGCTGCGGCGCGTAGTTGCCGTTGACGGGGCCGGATGACTCGGTGGATGCCATTTTCAATGTGCGGGTGACGGCGAGGTTATGCGGCGGGATGGAGGGCGAATTGCGTCGAGTTTGCGCGGAGTGTGGTGGGGGATGAGATACGCGAAGCAGAGGACAGGCGCCTAGATGCTAAGACAGCAAGTCGACGTTAGCATAGTAAAAAGCTATCCTCGGGCTAGTTGCGCGTACCGGGCCGTGTGCACTGAAATGGGATGGAATCCGGTGGAGATGCAGGAATAGGCGGGCGATGAGATGGCGATGCGCGGGTGTAGATGTAGATGGCCGAATATGTTTATATGAAGCTCCCCAGCAGATGATCGGGATGGATTCAGGGTAGTCGGGGCTTGGGCGTGGGTTGGTCGTTGTGCGCGTTCAAGCAAGAGTGCTAGTGAGGACCACACTGATTCGGAAGGCAAAATGCGAAGGAACCAAGTCTGTGCGTCGTTGCCCGATCAAGCGAACCTGTCCTGCACCTCCAGATTTCACCTCCATCGCTGCGTCGACCCGACGACTCGCGACAGACTTCACCGTGAGAAGTGGCCTACTCGCTATCCAGCTATATTCACACTCGTCGATCAACAATTGCAGTCACTCGCAAGATATACGTCATCGATGCCCTGCGCATCTTGTCAGGGCGCCAACGCATGGAAGCGATTGCTGATTAGAGCGCAGAAGGATGATCCACACGTACCCATCGTGAGAATTCATGTTTGGGTGGCCGCATGCACATATAGGATGCATCTTCAGTATGATTGTCCCATGTCGGACGCGGGTCGGAGATGCCATCATCTCCGACATCTCCTACGCGTCTCCGCTGCGCGCGCAAGAGCGAGATCCTTTCAACACCGAATTCGCCAGCAAATCTCTTCGAAACACCGAATTGACCGTCGGGAATGTGGGTCACTAACCCCCTTCCCGCAGCTGCCTTCGCTGTTGTGGTAATGCGAATGTTGTGAGATATCTCGCCATTGGCTCGGCACGTCGGTCTGCGTCAAAGGCGAGGCCGAGCGCGAACAGGCGTGCAGGCCTACATGCAAACCTACCCCAATAATAGCTTGATATCGAATGTGCGGATCACACGGATTCCATGGTAAGGAGCGAAGCACCGTTACGCCTCTCAATGTCAACCTCAATGATTGACTACTTAATCATGGCCTAGCCCAGCTCTCATCTTACCAACTCCTTCACGCTCAACTTCCAACCCCTAGTGCTACCGTCTACTACCATGTCGCAGACTACAAGCTCAGTGGCATCTTTGCACGAGGAGAAGCCACGACTTCCCCAATCCGATGTCGAACAACCGCCAGCACCAGTCGATGAAAAGCAACCCGATACGACCGCACCTACAGCGGCTGTGAGCCCATTCCATCCCAGTCAATTCCCTGATGGTGGAAGAGACGCCTATCTTTGTCTCCTCGGAGGCTTCTGCTGTCTCTTCTGCTCATTTGGATGGCTAAACTGCGTCGGAGTGTTCCAAAGTTACTACCAGCGGAATCAACTCAGCGCGTACTCGCCGTCTACCGTCGCCTGGATCGCTTCGCTCGAGATCTTCGTCATGTTTGCGCCTGGACCTATCGTCGGTTTTCTGTACGACAACTACGGCCCCAAGTACATATTACTGTTCGGTACCTTGTTCCACGTGCTTGGTCTAATGATGACTAGCCTATGCACTGAGTACTGGCAATTTATCCTCGCCCAAGGAATCTGCAGCCCTCTAGGTCTGAACTGTATCTTCCAGGCAGGAACCAGCACCATCCCTACATGGTTCCTGAAGAAGAGAGGCCTGGCATACGGAGTCATGGCAGCTGGCAGTGGACTAGGCGGCATCATCTTTCCCATCATGGCAACGCACCTCATCCCCGAAATCGGTTATGGTTGGACAATGAGAACATTTGGCTTCCTCATCCTCGGCATGATGACTATCGCTTTCCTCACTGTCAAATCTCGCCTACCGCCACAGCCCAGAACCTTCGAGTTCAAGGTGTTTGTGGAGCCTTTTGGGGACATTCGCTTCGTCTTACTGACGATTGCGTCATTTTTGTTCTTCATGGGACTGTGTAAGTTACCGCCCTGTACGAGCTGCCGACAAGACGCGTACTAATACCAGAGTTAGTTATACCCATCAACTTCATCGAGGTTCAAGCGATGGCCGCTGGAATGTCGACTACCTTGGCTGGATATCTTCTAGCTATTCTCAACGCCGCTAGTATCTTCGGTCGCATCATTCCCGGTGCCCTCGCGGACAAGGTTGGCAAGTTCAATATGCAGTCACTCTGGTGCCTCGTAGCTGGCATTCTGGTCCTTGCCCTGGCTATCCCCGCATCAGGTAACGCGGCATTCATTACATTCGCCGGCCTCTACGGATTCGCTTCCGGTGCTTTCGTGTCACTGTTGCCTGCCCAGATCGCTTATATTTCCAAGGTCGAACAGATTGGGATCCGTGTTGGTGTTGTCTTCGCCTGCATCTCAATTGCGGGTTTGATCGGTAATCCAATTGCAGGAGCTATCGTCGTCCAAAACAATGGAAAGTACTGGGGGCTGAACGTCTTCTCTGGTGTCATGATGATGGCGGGAGCAGGCATGTATATACTGACGAGGATGTATATTGCAGGATGGAAGGTGCTTGCACTAGTTTAGTTGCATGCGTAGTCAGAATCAAGCTTTGCCCACACTACGGGATGACGGATGTGCTTCATTACGAATGCGTAGTTATCTTGAAGAATACTTTAAGTAAAAATATAGACGATCTTGGATATTGTTACGTGTAAAGATTCAACAGCTCGTAAGCAGCAATGTGCGATACGACTCTTTGTTATGCCCTCGTGCCTTTCGAAACTCACTTCGTGTTCCACGTGTATGCGTGAGAAATCCTTAACTCCGAACTGAGTCCGTGGGTTGAGTGCACAGACCGTCGATTCATGACAACACCCAGCAGTTGTCGCAGCTTCCTACACTCTGTCACTACGTATTATTAACCATGTCGACGCGTCCAATGTTCTGGGCAAACGTTGATCATCAGCCTACCCATACTGAAGCGTGGTCTGAGCGTCTAGTCTGAGGAAGCACGGGCTGTTCGTTGTACGAAGGTTTGTACGACTCGCACATGGCCTCGTACATCAGCTTTCATGACCTTCCGCCGTTGTACGCACTGCGCGCTACTCACTCTAATCTGTATTCGCTTAAAAACGCCCATCGACCTTGAGACTCATTCCTTCGTACCTAAGTAGTCGTACAAACAAGTGCCACCAAACAAGCAAAAGACGAAGCCAAGGGTGTTGTACGACTGCATAGGCCTATCGCATACAGATTACTGAGCAGCCTATCATGCCCAAGCAGCGCCAAACCTGTACGCGGTGCTCTCAGAGACGGCAGAAATGCGATCGAAAGGCACCTTGTACAAGATGCGTGCAGAACAATGAAGGTCATCTTTGCACGACCAAATGGGTGAACGGATACAACCCAAATGTTCATCGCAAATATCCCCGGAAGCTTTCGACAGCCGGTTCAAGCGACACATCTACATCTGGCCCGTCTCCCGATGCAAATGCTCAGGTCGCGCTACCCCCAATCCATCCACAAACGGCAGGGTCTCAATCGGGTCGGAACGAGCCGCATGAGGAAGCAGTCTGGCGAACCGGTTTACCCGACATGACGATTAGCGCTATATTGGAAGAGAAAGATGCAGAAGCCAATCAAAGCCGTTTCGACAAGAGCTTCTCTTACGCCCGGTCGAAACGATCGCCACGAGATGGACCGAATGGGTCGACATCTATTGCGAGCTGCTACTCGGCTGCAGCGAGGATAGTGGAGACACAGTACCTGCAGTCGATTCTGCCGCCGAGAGAAAAGTTAATGCTTATTGTGGAGTACTACGAACAGTACATGATGTACTGGCACGGCGGCATCTACCATGGGCCAAGCTTTCGAAAGAAGCTGCTTCAAGCGTATGGTCAGTCGTGTGAGCTTGCTCTGCAAGACCTTGACTGGACATGGGTAGCCCTCTTGTGTAAGTTTACCTCCATTTCGAATGATTCAGGCCTACCTTACTCGATATGCCATCAATGCGAAGGTTACGGTGACCAGACTCAATCTTCTCGGTCGATACTAAAGTTACTAATTCCAATCTTGTAGTCGCAATTCTTTCATCCAGTATCATCGGCTCTTCAGAAATAGCTTCGACGTCCTGGGGCTTCTCGGTTGACGACAAAGTTCAGCTGGCACGCGTATGGGGCGGAGCATCGATCTCATGCCTGAACCTTGGGAATTATACATCGCAATACAGTATTCACTCGGTACAGACTATTCATATCATGCACGCGTATGAACATCTAGCTGGCTCAAGTAATCAATGGATCGCTCTCCGTAGCGTGGGGGTAGTCATTGCGAAAGGGCTTGGTTTGCACAAGTAGGTGGCATGGATTCCTGAGATACGGACTCTACTAACTGATCAAGCAGACTTGGGCCCCATCCAGACGACGATAGGATAACTGAATTGGACGCAAGACAGAAAGAAGCATTCATCGAGCGTGAAATTGGTCGTAGGGTATGGTATGGGACTGTATGCCAGGAGTGGTACGTCTAAAGCACAGTTCAAGCGATTCATGAACAATTAACTCATCCATTCTTTAGGCTGTGTTGTACTTCATCCGCCTCTTACACGTTGACACTCCAATGGCGGCATTTCACGAGCGCAAGGCCACGCGAATTAGACGAGGAAACCATGACGCCCGTCGCCGACACAGAAACTCCGACAATCGTAGGCGTCGCCAAGTGGACCTTTGACTGCGCTGCGTTACTTCTCGACGTTCACAACGCTATGGTGGAACTCGAGGACAAGGACGACGCTATCAAATATGCCACAATCCTCAAATTTGATGGCGAAATGCGTACTTTGTGTGCGGAGAAGCTGCCGAGATATCTTCTTCCTCGGGTACCTCACGATCCCAGTTGGCCGCAATGGGTCGTCTGGGCGAAGCGGCTGCACCACGCATCGACACATCACAAGATTATTATGAGTGAGTATTCACCATCATAGATTGTGCACAGACGTATACTAATTCTGTCACGTATCATCAGTCCATCAAAACTTCTTGAGCAAGAGCTTCAAGGACGTCCGCTACACATACAGCCGGTGGGCTTGCATGAGCGCAGCGCAGAGTCTCATCAGCTTATACACCACTCGAGAAGCGCAAGAGCCGCAATGGTGGGTTGAACAAGCTTTCATCATCACCGCTGGTATTTGCCTCATTCTGGAGCTCTTTCATCGTGCTGAAGCAGACGCGGAGGCACAAGAGTGCCATCTACATGTCACGCGAGCTATCAGGTACTTGCAACTGTTTCACACGTCAAGTGTTGCAGTACATGGCGTGCGTCTGCTCATGTCGCTTGTGGCAGAGTATGAGAAGCTCAGGGATGGATCAAGCCAAAGGTCCACACTATCAGCGGACACAGCAACCACCCAAACCTGTTCCTATATTCCCGGCAACACGGCTGGTATTCCCATGCCGGAAACTGACCGTGCGACTCAACAGCTGCCTCTAGATTCTGAGGTTCAACCAACATTCGCCGATCCGACCACGTGGAATTTCGATATCGACAGTCTGGGCTTCGAAGATCTGATGGACTACCTGCCTTCAGAAGGCTTGTTGAACAATAATGTCTTCAACGCCAGCATGTTGTCTGATACTGGATGGCCGATGTGGTAGCTCTTTCCCCATTCATTAACAATCGCTCTTACCGATCGCGCTGGTTCCTTCCGTTACGACAAGCAAGTGGTCTGACACCGAGGTGGCTCCTCCCTTATCGAATATTTTCAGAGCTCTGTTTAGTCTCCCCGAGTAGCCAACCTGACAACTGTATGCTCCCGCATGATCGATTGCGTAGCCACCACCTAACAAGGTAAGTTTATGGCAGCTCATTACAAACACGCACTAACAGGTGCAGTTACACAGCCACGGCAGTATGTCTCAGGACCCCGAACTCGACAAGATGCTTGTGCTCGACGCACTGAGTAGCGGCCTCAACATGTCCATGACAGAGCTCCTCAGCATCCTCGGTCGACAAGCCCCGATCTCAAACCTTCTTCTCGGACCCGTCATCAGACCACAGCAAATCCCCATGACGGCGGCATCTCATTCCGAACCGAGCACGCATCTACAACAGAAGGCACCGGCGGCGAAGGAGGGACAGCACCTGTTGAAGGAGTTCCACATTGTATACTGGACCGCTTTGAGTCTCGTCGCCCTCATCGCTATAGCGGCTGTCTGGACGAAAGCTCACATGGCGGCGCAAAAGGGTCGGAAGTCGTTCGAGGCCAAGAAACCTATGTCGGACGTTGAGAAATGGCATATGCGACGTCAGAAGGCCCGCGATGAGGCGTCCATGGCACTGGGGCAAGTGGATGATCAGGCTCCGGGTACGTGAATGCGTGGCTAGAAACAGAATGCGGAGATAGTTTCGCGATGCGGAAGGGCTCTACTGAGAAGTCATGCGCTCCTTGTTTTGTATCTGTATTTGTTCGTGGAGGATGGCAACCGCGTATGGCAGATTTTAGCGTATCAAGCGAGGCAAGAGAATCGAGTGCATGTATAATACCGGATCACTGAATAATTCCCTCTAATCACAACTGCTCATTGTCTCACAATCTTCGTTTCTGTTGCTGCCGCTTCATCAGAGTCGCGCATCCAGTCAAACCTCGGCAACTCGTTGTACCCCACACCCGTAGACGCGTCGATCTCCCGGCATGCATATGGTGCATGTACTACTCTCGTTGTTTACTGCAATGCTTCACTTGAAATGTGTAAGGATACGTCGCTAAATTGGAATTGACGTTCCATGTGTTAATCTGCAACGATGAAGGCCATCCACATCGACAGATTCGTCTCTGTAAGCCACCTATCTAAGTATCTACATCATCTTCCCTAACCATGACAATCTACAGAACGTGACAGACCTCAAACCTTCCACCATCCCATATCCATTCTCAAAATCGTCGCAAGATATTCACATCAAAATCACCCATGCAGCCGTAACACACGTCGACCTCCTCTACGCCCAAGGCCTGCACCAAAACAACCGCAGACACGTCCAACCGCCCTTCATCCTAGGCACAGAATACGCCGGCATAATAACCCATAGCCCCCCTTCCTCTTCCTTCCCGCCCGGCACCCGCGTCTTCGGCGGCGGCCTAGGCGCCTACGCAGAGCAAATATGCACCTCTGAACCCTCCATCCGCCGCGTCCCCTCGCAATGGACGAACGCTGAAGCCTGCGCCGTTGGCGCAAGCGGTGCTGTAAGTTACGGCGCTTTGATCTCAGTTGCGCAACTCAAAGCCGGGGAAACTGTTCTCGTGCTCGGTGCGAGTGGTGGGTTGGGAGTCATGGCTGTGCAGATTGCCAAGGCGGTTGGGGCAAGGGTTATTGCTGTTGTGGGGGGAAAGGAGAAGGCTGAGGTTGTGAAGCGTGTTGGTGCGGATGAAGTTGTGGATTATGGGGTCGAGGGGTGGGAAGCGAGGGTTAAGGCGTTGGGGAATGGTGGGGAGGGGGTGGATGTCGTGTATGATGGGATTGGGGCCGTGGAGAGTGGGATTAGGTGTTTGAGGTATCGGGGAAGGCTGGTCGTTGTTGGGTTTGCGGCAAGAGGGGGAAAGATGGAGAACCTGAAGGTCAATAAGATTCTGCTCAAGGGAGTTGCGGTGTTTGGTTATGTAAGTATGCCTTCCGTGGTCGTCTTGCACTTGGGATTTTGCGTGTTCACTTCAGGTGCTAATTCACGATAGCGGTTCGGGGAAGATGGGAGGAGAGACCCGCAGAGGACAAACGATGTTTGGGACGGCTTTATGAAGTTGGTTGAGGATGGTAAGATTCGGCCTGTCATATATAAGGAGGATTATTGGGGGTTGGAGGCGGTTAGTAGAGCGCTGGAGGATGTGAGGGAGCGGAAAGCTTGGGGGAGGGCTGTGATAAAGATATGTGAAGCAGAAGAGGATAAGACGGAGCAGAAGGCAAGGTTATGATGTAGAGATATAGATGTTGCTACTCAAGATGTCGACCTCACGCGATCCTCTGTGGGCAGTAGGTCGCGATCTCCTATTTGATGGTGTGTCTCGTGATGGGCGTGTAAAGCATGTAAATTTGCAGCTTTCATCCAGAGACCATCGTAATTATACTGAATCTGTATTGCTTTAGAGGTGAACTCCACGCGTTGGTCATGCTTCACCCTGGAGGCGTGGCGTCGAGGCCATCAAAGGCGCACGGACCCTCGCGGCGCGCCGGCTTAGCGCGGTTTCTTTGGATGGGCCTTGTTCGACGTTCCCATGTTTAAAACATAACCCGTCAACTTCGACGCTCGCCGTCTGCTCTTACTTTCCTCCTTTTCCCTCTCCGACTGCGCGCCGCCCGTCCAAAACTAATCAGCGGATAGCATCACCCTCACGTCCGCTTGATTGCCGCGGTCACACCCCCGAGCTTCGCGACAGCTCTTAACAAGGACACGCTCCTCTATCACCACACGCATCGATAATCATGGCGTCCTACGGCAGCGACCCCGAAGAGGAAGAAGAAGACTTCAACCCCGCGCCTGAAATCGACGAGGATGACGTCGCGCCAACCACCAAGGCTTCGCGCAGGCCCGTAGACGAAGACGAAGAGGACGAAGTCGATGCGCCAAACAGGACAGGCAATGACGACGAAGATGAAGAGGGCGGCGGCATAGATCTCGACGATGACGATGACGAGGAAGATGACGAAGAAGATGAGGACGACGAGGATGTTGTCGTGGGTCTCATCATTCATTCGCGCTGTCTGATTACTGACTATCCTAGGCCCGACCTGCCAAGCGGAGAAAGAAGGCAAAGCGCAACATGTTCATTGATGTTGAAGCCGAAGTCGATGAGGATGAGGAAGAAGAAGAGGAAGGTGACGACGAGGGCGTTGATGAAGTCCACCCCGATGATCTCCTCGAGCCCACGGGCGCCGATCTCGACGACCGCCACCACCGCGAACTTGACATGCGCCGCGAAGTCAATGCACAAAAGGACGTTGAGGAGCTCGCCAAGGAGTTCGACGAGAAGTACAGGCGGCGTGAGATGCAGAGCACTCGCCGCGGTGGAGCCGGTGCCGTTCCCCTGGCCCTGCCCACAGTCGACGATCCGTCTATATGGGGTTGCAAGTGCCGTCCTGGAAAGGAGCGCGAGATCATAATGTCTATTCAGAAGCGTATCGACGAGAAGATGCGCACAGGTCAGCCGGTACAGGTCTACTCGGCCTTTGAGCGAGGCCCTACTGGACCCCAGTCTGGTTTCCTCTACGTTGAGGCCGACTCGAAGCAGGCTGTGGTGGAATTGATCGAGGGCATACAGAACGTCTTCATGGGCTCTGGTCAGTTCTCGATTCCTCCAAAAGAGCGTCCAGATCTGCTCCGTAAGAAGAAGCGTGCGCCGTTGGAGGTTGGCAAATTCGTGCGCATGCTGCGTCCCCCCACATACAAGGGCGATCTTGCAAAGGTCGTTGAGGTCTCGACTAACGGTCTTGACTGTGTCGTACAACTTGTGCCACGTCTAGACTACGGTCTGAACGAGGACATCAACTCCGCCGCCGACAACAAGCGCAAGCGCGGCTTCTTCGGTCGACAGGTCGAGCGTCCACCTGCGAAGCTTTTCAACGAAGCCGAAGCGAAGAAGCGACACATGAAGCATCTCAGCATGACAGGATCTGGCAACCAAAGGGCATACACATACAAGGGCGAGGATTACCAGAACGGCTTCCTGATCAAGGAAGTCAAGGTCAACTGGGTCAGCACTGAAAAGGTCAACCCCAAGATGGAGGAATTGCAGTTCTTCGCAATCCAAAACGCGGATGGTACCGAGACCATGGATCTTTTGGCTGTCCAGGCCGCGCAGAAGGCCGCAGACTCTGGCTCCGCCTTCGCTGCAGGAGACAACGTCGAGATCTACACCGGTGAACAGAAGGGTATCCGCGGTACAACTGTCACTGTCATAGGCGACATCCTGACGCTCCGTGTCAGCGAAGGTGATCTTCGCGGCAGAAGAATCGACGCACCCGTCAAGACGCTACGGAAATTGTTCCGCGACGGTGATCACGTCAAGGTCATCGGTGGCAGCAAGTATGTCGATGAAGTTGGTCTAGTCACTAGAATCAAGGATGATAAGATCACCTTGCTTTGCGACTCCACTCAGCAGGAAATCACGGTCTTTAGTAAAGACCTGAAGCGCGCTGCTGATTCGGCAAACGTCGGTGCTGACTCCAACTTTGACCTCTACGACTTTGTACAGATTGAGTAAGTTAAATCCTTCCGATACCTCGACAACAAACTAAGACTCTGTAGTGCCTCAACTATCGGTTGCGTCGTTCGTGTCGATCGCGAAGTCCTACGAATTGTCGATCAACAAGGCGATGTCCGCACACTCCTCCATACACAGGTCTCGCAAATCGTGGGGAGGAACAAACATGCTGTAGCAACCGACCGCGACGGATCCGAAATCCGACACGAGGACGACGTCAAGGAGTATGGAGGCGAAGGCCGTCAAGGCAAGGTTCTATACATCCACAGAGGCACACTTTTCGTACGGAACCGCGAGCTCGTCGAGAACCAGGGCATCTTCGTGGTTCGAAGCAACAACGTTGTTACCATGGCAGCAAAGAGTGGTCGCGCTCAAGCACAGGGCCCAGATCTTAGTGGCATCAACCCTGCCCTGAATGCAGGCCCGAACGGCAACGCGACTGCTATGCCTCCACCCCGTGCCACTTTTGGCCGTGACAAGCTCATTGGCAAAACGGTTGTCATCCGAAAGGGTGCCTACAAGGGCCTGTTGGGTATTGTCAAAGATACCATGAACGACGAAGCCCGTATCGAGTTGCACACAAAGAACAAGCAAGTCTCGGTGAAGAAGGAGCTCCTGACTATCAAAGATCCCATCACTGGCGCCAGTGTCGAAATGGGAGGCAAGTTCCCCAACCGCTCACGTGGAGGCTTCTCTGGTGGTCAGACAAGCTACGGCGGTGCAGCTGGCGGACGTACACCCGGCTGGGGCAACTCTGGTGGTGGTGGCCGTACGCCTGGCTGGGGAGGCGGCGGTGGTGGTCGCACACCCGGTTGGGGAGGTGGTGCCGCTGCTGGAGGTCGAACGCCTGGTTGGGGTGGAGATGGCGGACGCACTGCGTATGGTGGAGGAGACGGATCACGGACTGCTTATGGAGGCGGCGATGGCTCCCGAACTGCATATGGCGGCGCAACTGCATACGGAGGCGCCACATCATATGGCGGAGCGACAGCCTACGGCGGCAATGATGGAAACCGTACCCAGTACGGTGGCTTCAACTCTGGCGGCCGCACACCTGGTTGGGGTGGATCCTCCGGAAACACCGCTTCAAAGTCTGGCGGTCTCTCTGCTCCTACGCCTGGTGCTTACAACGCCCCAACACCTGGCGCTTACGCTGCTCCAACTCCAGGGGGCTATGGTGCTTACTCTGCGCCTACGCCTGGTGGCCCACCCATGGATGCCCCTACTCCTGGCAACTACGCTGCGCCTACTCCTGGTGACACGTCGCGTGGTGGATATGGTATTGCGGCGCCCACACCTGGCGGTTGGGATGCTGCGACGCCGGCACCTAGTGGCGATCCCGGCTACGATTAGGAACGTAGACGGTAGTCTGCAGTGTAAGATAGGCAGCTGTAGTATGGGTTTGCGCGAGACTGCCCAGCGAGTGGGATCTTTTGGATTTGTTCATTGCATTGCTGGAGTTGGCAAAACAGGATAGCTTAAATAAGATTACAATTTTAACATCTTCTTCCTTGCATGCGTCGATACCGTCTTCTTGACTTCTCGTGCAATGAAACGCGCGTCCAATAATCTAGACTAGAATATCTACATTTTGTTCAAGGAAGGAACTGAACAAGTGCATTGCAGTCTAGATCAGTATTGAAATGAAAGTTAATAAGATCATGACGCAACGCGACCTAGGTTATTAAGTTTGGATAGGTGTTCATTTTCCCCCGGGGTGACTCTGTTTCACTCTTGCTGCAGGGTTCATCGCGGCCGTCCGTCATTCAATCACTACACGCTACATTGAACAAAGCAATATCAATAACATCTTTGATAATGCTTATACAAATATCGTTCGATCGATCAAAGAAAGGACACTTAGCAAGTGCGCAGAAATCGCCGAGAGGGAAGAATTTGCAGCAGAAAATGTTACATTGCTGTAATGATAAGTCTTATCTAAATCATGATCTAGTAGACTAGGAAAAAGGAAAGCTGGTATCACCCCACCACTCTCTGTGCAAATGCGAAATAATCAAAGACGAAATGAAATCTGAGTTGTCCACAACTCACTGCAACACCACTCACTCCGCAACCATGCAACAGAATCTTCTAATGAGAAAGGAATATTACATTTAGTACTTGCGTACACGCCTCTGGATGGGAGTACCGACGGTAACCTGAGCACGAATTAGTAAATGTGATATGACAAAAGTATGGTAGGGAGGGAAGAGCATACCTTAGCATCAAGAAGGCCCAGATCAGCATTGATCTCAACGTTGGAACGAGGCGTAGAGTTCTGAGCAGGAGGCATCGAAGTGTTACCAGCAGCAGCACCAATCTCCAAGATGTTCTCTCCACCAAGGGTGTTCTGGATGAAACGGGAGTTGAACTTCACAATCTTCTTAATAGCGTTGAAGTCCTCAACAGAGACGGGAAGAGGGTCCTTGACAATGAGGAAAGTAACGCCCTCGGCGCAAGGAGGGGTGGTAAGCGAACCGCTGTACGTCTGGATATCAGAGGTCTTGAGCGTCTCAACCACGTCGGTAAAGTCGATGCCGGAGGAGATTGTGGTCTTGGTGCCGGGGGTGGCGATGTCGGCGAGCGAGGAGGACAGCGATTGGATCATGGAAGCGGAGTCGCCGGAGGAGACCTCGAACATGAGCGCGATGACGGCGAGTTGGCTTTCGTCGTCGACACCCTGGTGCACCATGTGGATCTCCAAGGGGAAGTAT